CAGGTGCCGTGGCCTAGGTTTCTCACTGAAAATCCTCGTCCCCCGGCGGCACCTTTTTTTTGAATTTTCTTCCTTTTCAACGCCGTTTTTCGGGGATTTCGGATTTTCTTTGAATTTTTTCGCAATAATATTCGAAAAATAAATAAATTTTAACACATTTTAATGCAATAAAAATTTTTGGTCGGAGTCCCCCTTTAATCAAAAAGTATCATATAGTGCCTAGGGGGGCAAACTTGGAATCAAAAATTAGTTTCAAAAAATGCAAAAAAAGTTTTACCACAGTGGGGGTCGAACCAGCATAGTCAATCCTAATGAGTCACCCTCTTACCACAACACCACACAACCGATATCTTCCTCAACAACAACTGCGACCGCCGGAATCTTGACAGAGTCTTTCATCGCTTGAACACCCTCCGTCGTGTCACCCATCAAACATTGTACGACTCCTATAATATATGATTTTTAGATCAAATTCAATGAAAAATGCTCACCTTTTGCAGCTCCCCAACCAGGAACATAATTGATCCAACTCATTTTTCCATAAAAATGGTTTTACTTGGTTCTTTTAAACGGTTTTGCCTGGACGGGGTCGTCAATTTTGGAGTTAGCAATAATGCAGTGAACAAACGCAAACAAATTTCCAAGAAGTATCACTGTCACTCACTTTCCTCACTCTTGTTTTATCATTCATGATGCCATCAGTACCCAAGGGTTGTCGAGCCACCCTGTACTCTGGCATGATAACAAAAAACAGAAAAGTGTCACGATGGTAAACACTCAGCAACGAAAAAAGCCCTCCAGTCTGTATACTCCCCTCGAAATCCATTAGGGACCAAAACGATAGGCCTCGCTGGAACTACGAACAGAAACGTTGACACTAGAGTCTAGAAGTTCAAAGATATCATGGATCGTCGCGCATTCGTTGACTTGGGCACTCATCTTCTCTCTGCTATTGATGATGTGGAAAAAACCAAAGTGAAGATGTTCGAGATGTCAGCTGGGCTCATGATCTCAAAGCTAATCGAACGGATCTTTTGAACGAGCTCAACGAGATTTATTTTGAAAGTATGAAAGTATTAATTCCCCAAATGTGCTTTAGAAGATATTCTAGAACGTTTAGAGTTAGCAATAAGTCTGGATGTTTTCGTTGCTGAGTATGTACTTTCTGTTTATTGTTATCGTGGCAGCGTATCATCATCATGTTTAGACTAACTAGGGAAGGTTGTAACTGGGGTATGGGACTTTGATATGAGACCTATATCATTCGAAAGCTGAGGATGAGACATTTTCAAATATATATTCAGATTTTGCTGCGGACTTACCAGGTTCTAGAAAATTGAGTTTAAAATTTGGCTGAAATTCGAATATTTTGGGGGGGGCGAGATCTCCCCCTTTCTTATATGCATTGGGTAACCAGTGGCAAGCAGCGACTGGTGGTGTAGTGGTTAGGAGGGAGGACGGTGACTGACTAGGGTTGTGTTCGATTCCTCTGTCCTTAATTTGCTTTTGTTTTTGTTTTTGGCCTTTGTGGAAATCTTCAAAATGCTCTGAACACATTTTTCAAAAAAAACATTTTGTAATACTTAAAAATCGTACTTTATCAAAAATGTTAAGCAATACAAAGTTTTTTGGCGATTTCGTTAATCAACGCTAAAAATGTTCATCCAGTTTTGTATGTCGGAGTTCATTAGAATTGTTAGTTTTCCGAGCCACACAGTGATAAATCAACGAGACATGATTTGAATCTATGTTTTCAGAAGTTTTGAGTGCTACTGGGTGAACATTGCAATACTACGGTCTGTCGAAAATCAGGAATAGAATCAACATTTCTCGATTCCGAGAAGAAAATAGGTTATCAAATCTTGTAAAAACCTATGTTGATGGTTTTTAACGTTTAAAACTTTTCTGGCTCTTTTGAAAATTTTCGCAAAAATAAAAAAAATCAAAGGGGATACCCCATGGAACTTTAAAAAAAAATTTTTTTTCTGAAAAAAAAAACAAAAAACACTGTGAGATTGTATAGATACATCTAAAATTGCAAGCGTAATCAAAAAAACATCCAAAATCTTTCATGAACCATTAACTTTCTATTCTCAAAAGTCAAAAAGTGGTTGGAAGAAATGGCCCAAAAATAGTTTTCAAACGCATTCAACCACAATTTTAAACAGTTTTAAAGAACACAGTATGATTCTGAAAGTTTTTCATGTTTTTTCAAAAAAAAATTTTTTTGAAAAAAAAAGTCACCATGGGGTCCCCCCTTTGCATTTTCAAAATTGAGATTTCAAACTCGATTTTCTCGAACCTGGTAAGTCCGCAGCAAAATTTGAATATATATTTGAAAATGTCTCATCCTCAGCTTTCGAATGATATAGGTCTCATATCGAAGTCCCATACCCCACAAACAACCTTCCCTAGTAAGCAATAAGGGTGGATCGCCAACCCTTGCTTATAAGATGCTTATACTGATGCCATCATGAAGGATAAAACAAGAGTGAGGAAGGTTGACAAGGAGACTCCATCAAAAATTGTTTTGGTTTGTTCACTGCACTATTGCTAATTCTAAAATTGACGATCCCGCCCAGGCGAATCCGTTTAAAAGAACCAAGTAACACCATTTCTAATTGAAAAATGAGTTGGATCAATTATATTCCTGTCTTGGGAACTGCAAAAGGTGAGCATTTTTCATCGAAATTGATCTAAAAATCTGATGTTTTAGGAGTCGTTCAATGTATAAAAGGTGACACGGAAGAGGGTGTTCAAGCGATGAAAGACTCTGTCAAGATTCCAGTGATCACAACTTATGTTACTTTCAGTAAGCGATGGTTTCGAAAAAATATTTCATGGAGATTTTAAGGCTGTTTTTCATTTTATTCGTTTAAATGAATGAAAAATTTTACAAAAGTTTTAACATCTGTTCAAAAAATCAGCATTACAACTTATCTAGTGCAACGATTCAGTAAACTTCGCCGATACGACTTTGGGGTCCCAGATCCCTATAAATCATCATGACCTCTATTTTTCGTACCTATCACAAAATTGTTATAAACTCATACCATTTTCCCTCTATGTCGTCCTACATTCTTCCCAGCCATTCTAACAGAGCCCTGTATTTGTTCAAAATCAACGGTCAATACTTTGACTGCTTCCTTCACAGAAACTTGTCTATGTGGAACCGTGTATGTAAGGTGATAAATTCTAAGCTCAGCCCGGTGGCGTTTGCTAAGCGAGTAGGAGCGATTCCTTATGATATTCTGATCCCTCCCACTTGACCTACAGGACTCTAGTCGGTCCGTCTGGTCATTTTACTTTTTTATTTGTACAGGTCCCATTTCTTGCCAAATTACCTATCTATCGATTTCCCCTCATGCATTGCAAATAAATATATTATTATTATTATTATTTTCATAATATCCACTCTCCAACCCTTGAATACTACAACATATTCAGGGGATAGTCCGAAGGATAAATCAAGGTTGTTGGAATTTGTTGGAAATCTACTAAAGGCATCAGTTACAAATTTTCTGGTTTTGAATTTATGAAAATTCCACAATTTAATAGAAATTTGTGAAATAGAATATCAATTTCTAGAATTCCGTCTTGTGCTAGAAATGATAAATGTAGACAAAGAGAATGTGTAGTCAAAGAGTAGGTGTAGTCAAACAGTAATTGCCCAATTTGATGGATACTGTGAATTAAATCGATCCGAATTTCACTACGGAACAATTTATTGAAGCATTCAAAAGGCTTTTTCTAAAGAGCAAACAATTTGAGAGTAGTTTGTAGATTTCGATTCGTTTTTTACACAACTTTTTAAAATAAATGTTTTTTTTCGGAATTCTGTTGGGTCCTTTCCCATTTCTTTTTTTCCTTTTGCTTCTTTCCTTCGAAATGTCACAGAATTTAATGTTTCTATCTTGCGAAAAAGAAACATCTCATATTTCTTAGCCACCATTGGAGTATCGTAAAAATCGGCGATCAGAAGAATTCCTTCCACTGTGAAATCTAAAAAATCGGAGAATTAAAAATCGTCAAAGAAGATTTCAAAATCACCATCAATTGAGAATTCTCCATATAGAACTTCCAGAAAATGTTGAAACTCATCTGCATCGATTCCAGTCAAGGCGATTTCGGATTTTTTTGATTCGGAGAAACCCCCGAGGAACAGAGTCTTGAGATATGTAGATTGAGAGGCGAGGTACTGAAAGGAAATCTCATTTTAAGAAGAATGAGTGAATTTGAACCATTTCTGAGACGTAGAATTGGGTATCCTGTACCACCAAAACAACATCGGAGACGTCTTTTTGTGATTCATCAAATGTTCGCATTTTCTCTTTTTTGGATCCAGTCATTTTTATAATTTCAACTTCTACTTCAAGTGTCAAATTATCTAGAACTTGCCCTTCGTCTTCAATATCTTCCAATTCCAGAGTATCATCAATAGTCTTTTTCCGTAGATAACCGTGTTTCATAGTTTTAGTGATATTGTTGTAGCCTATCAGTCTGAACTTCAATTCAGTTTCAATTGACATATTGTGTTGTTTTGTTTCGCAACTAATATAAAATGTGAAGCGATCGTCCATGCGCTCTACTCCTAACCACCTGAAATGTGAGAAAAACGATAAGGGCTGGACACTAATTTATTGAAAACTAACATGTCGCATTGGAGCACACTACATCTTCGCTGTAATCACCATCGAACATTTTGCTCAGCTTTTTGAATTCATGCTTCACCATGAATCTATTCGCTTCTGGTGCCGCGTGGGAAGTATTCTAAAAAATGAATTGTCATATTTCTCTTCCACAGATCTCACCTTCGACAAAATAGACATTTTTGAAATTGCATCTTCAATTGATTGAAGTTTTTCCGCGATTTGTTTTTGCGAATTTTTGATTTCTTCCGTTTCAGCAGCCACCACTGTTTTTAGCTTTTTCAAGCTTTTCATTCATTTCTGACTGCGAATATGTCTTGAGATCTTCACTAGGTTCTGTTTCTGGTTCCAGGTTTTCAGTCATTTCTGTGGAAGATTCTGGAAAAATCGAATATTGAAAATCCTGACAAGAGTTGTGAGAAAAAATCGGAATAACCGGCTTTGAAGGGAAAAAGAATAACAAAAGAAAAAAACAGTACTCTAAAGGCGCATGATGGAATTCCTTACTCGGTTCCTGAAACGCGTTTGTTGCATACTGTAAAACATTTTTTCTTTCAAGACCTTTCTTTAATCGGACACAAAACCTCGTTTTGTCTGTACAGAGCAGAGATGACCGGAATCCGGAATCAGGAAAAATATGTTTTTCGGAATCTGGAATCCGGACAAATGAAAATGTTCCAGAATCCAGAATGAATCAATTTTCCGGAATCCGGAATTTTGAGTTCTTCCACAGCTCCGATATATCGTATATTTCGTACGAAGATAGTAAATACATACATTTCTTTTTCTGCTAAACTGATAGTGTCGAATACAACTTTTGGAATAATTTTTTTTCGTTGATTTTGGTCCTCCGTTAACCGTTTTCTGTCTTTAGTAAAACGAAGTTTCATTTCCGCTCAAAAATGGTCACATACTCTTTTTGGGTTGATATCTTCCAATTTCGTTCGTTAATTTTCCCCAGTTCTGGGTCCTTTTTACAAATCTATAAACTGACATTCACTTTGATTTAAAGAGCCCCAATGATTTATGGTACAATAGTAAAAATTTTAAAAAATATGTCAATAAATAATGTGAGAAAATGATTTAGCCATTAAACAGCCATATCCATGACAATCTTTCCGTGGCACTTGTAGTCCTCGAGAACAATCATGTCAGAAGTGAAATCGTCGATCGAGCTGACGTCTCGTGTGAATCGAATTTTCGGGAATGCATACGGTTCTCGTTCCATTTGAGTCTTCAATGCATCCACATGATTCGAGTAGACATGGGCGTCGCCGAGAGTGTGCACAAGAGTTCCAGCTTTCAATCCACACACCTTAGCAATCATATGGGTCAGAAGACCATAGCTGGCAAGGTTGAACGGCACTCCGAGGCCCTGAAATATACATTACGTGGAAGTTACAATATACTAAACGCCTACCATGTCTCCACTTCGCTGATATAGCTGACAAGACAACTCTCCGTTATCCACGTAGAACTGGCACATTGTATGACATGGTGGTAGAACCATCTGCCCGAGTTCCGATGGATTCCACGCCGACAAAATGATTCTTCTGCTGTCCGGTTCTTCCTTGATTTGTCGAATGACTTCAGCTAGCTGATCAATACCTTGTCCAGTGTAATCCGTATGACAATCCACGTATTTAGCTCCGAAATGTCTCCATTGGAATCCGTAAACCGGTCCGAGATCTCCTTCTTCGCGAGACGTGAATCCCAAATTGTCAAGGAACGCACGATCACCGTTCTTCTCCCAAATCTTGACATTTTTCGCCATCAATAATTTTCCATCGGTGGACCCAGAAATGAACCAGAGAAGCTCTTCAAGAACACCTTTCCAGTAGACTCGTTTCGTTGTCAGCAGTGGGATTGTGTCTGGAAATCAAATTTAAGTGAAAAACGGAAAAAGGAGGCAAACCATTTCTCAAACTATACTTCGATTGCATTCCAAAAATCGAGATGGTTCCCGTTCCGGTACGATCGTCTCGACGAGAGCCTTCTTGCAAAATTTGCTCAACTTGCTTCAAGTATTTGAATTCGTCTTGATTCACATGTTGCGCGATTTCCTTTCCAGATTTTTCCTGGCTAGGAAGTTCGATGGTTTCAGGAACAATATTTTCTTTATTCATTACGCTCTCTGAAATTTTCAGTTGTTTTGGGCGCATTGAAAAGAGAAAGGCACACATGAGCGAATTTTCGAATTTTAGGGAAATTACGTTTTACTCTAAACATATCATTTTGCGAGCTAAATTATAGAGAGAAAAAAAACTTCGCGACCTCAAAAAATAGCTGAAAAACCGCAGAAGGAAGAGAAAACGAGAAGAAAAAAGGATTAGGAGAAGAGATGAAAAACAGAATTCTCAAGTTGTCGCCAAAGCAAGCGAGTGTTCAAAATTCAAACTCGCATGCGTTTCGCGCGCAATTCTCGGCGAGTGCGCCAACAGAACAACAGAGCGCGCATGAAAGCACACACAAAACAGCGTTCCAATTTGGGACAGTTCGACTCCTTACCAGTTCGAACTTGTAACAGTTCGATTCTGTCCGCGTTCTGTTCTGGTACGTGTGCGAAAAAGGACTGTTCTGAATTGAATCTGTTCGATTTTGAAAACGTTCGAATTCGTCGTACCCCCGAAAAGGCATCAACTGATTTTTCCTGCAATTCTCATATATAAAAAGCATGTCGCACGAATTCATAAGTGGTAAAGAATGGAAAATTTGCAGTGTATAAACAAAGTAGTGAGAGACAATCAATATAAAGCGAGAATATAATAATGCAAGTATACAATACAGATAGTTCGTTTAGTTCCGATTGAAGATTCCCAATGCTCCCATTCGCTTTTTCATCGTTCCAGTAGGTGGTGGGCTGTGTGACGACTTCGAAGTACAATTCAACGTCGAATTTTGGCTATTATTCTCATTGAACATTGAAAGCGAGGTTTGCGACGATGACAGGTTGCCGCTTCGAAGATCAGCGATTTCATGACGGAGACGATGGATTTCAGCACGTTTTGCTTCGATCATCTGCTTGTGATCCTTCTCTGCCTCTTCCAGAAGCAACATTCTTGCATCATGGCGGTGTCTTCGAGCCGACGTCTTCTCAGCGAATACTCTATCAAGCGTATGTCGTTTGTCAGCTAAATCGCGTTCTTTTGTGCGTCGCTCTTCTTCGAAATGAGTGAATGGGTCACTGAAAAATCGGAGTTATTCAAGGGTTTTCTTTGTGAAACTCACCGATTCTTTTCATTTTTCGGCAGACCTTCCATTTGTCGGAATCTGAAGTTTTCGTAATGCACATTGCGAGTCACATCGATCATATCAATCAAATTGGTTCGAATAATCATATCACGAAGTGTCAGAAAATCGTTGTGATCCATATTCTCAACCTCCACGGTTCCCCATGGGTACTCTCTGTATCGAATGCGTCGTCCATGTTGTTCTTTCAGAGCGTTCGATCCAATAATGGCAAATGGAAGTGTCTTTTTGAGTTTCTCAGCAGTCATCTTGTCAGTGCCAGGATCCTCCAACTCTGGGAACTTGTACAACTGAATCTCAGCTGCCTCTGCATCCTTCACAATTTGCTGCTTGAAACGACGAAGCTCTTCACGTGTCAGACAATCGGCTTTGGCGATAACTGGAACAATATTCACACGTCCATGGAGATTCTTCATCAATTCTATGTCAATCGCTTTGAGTCCATGACCAGATGGTTCGATGAAGTAGAGACAGAGATGTACACATTTGTCGACGAATTTCTCTTGTCTGTCGATTCGAGTCTCCTCACAGAACTGATCGAAGAACTTGCTTTCCACATAGTTCACAATTGGCTCCCAGCTGCAAGAAAATCAAAAGAAATAAGGGAAGGTGACACTGACAAATTGTCATTGTTCTTCTCCCTTCCTCCTCTTACCACTTTGAATTATTCACAGCGTCTCCGAAACCCGGAGTGTCGACAAGTGTTAAATTGAGTGACACACTGTTCTCCACCAGCTTCACCAGCTTCTCCTCGACACGAACTGTTGATGGGTGTGGATCTTTGCAGATCAAATCTTGCTCGTTTAAATTGTTAATTTCGGCAAGGAACAGGGTGTTGATAAATGTCGATTTTCCGAGACCACTGCGACCTGGAAATGTATTTAATTTAAAACTTCTAATTTAGAACTGCTTACCAACAACCATCAGCGTGAAATCGAAACCATTCTTAACGGCTCGACGGAACACTTGATTCGGAAAATTGGCGAAGCCCCAATAGTTTTGTGTCTCACTCTGCCCCGATCGTATCGACTCGTCGTGGTTTGTAGTTCTGGTGCTCATTTAGCTGAAATTAATCTAAAATAGTGGAGCGAAGGAAAGGAAAAAAAAATAAAGCGGGAGAATTTTCAAAGCGAGTCACTCCGCGCGACAACAGGATAGACATCTGTGATTTGAAAAGTGAGGTCATTTCGAGAGATTGGAGGAAGGAGGGGACGTGAGAAACGAATAGCGCAATTTGAGAAAACTGAAGACGATGTATTCAAGTATTGGCGAATTAAATAGAACTGGCACCTCTAACTTTCGCAGCCGGTGTCCGTGTAGATTTACGCGGCTCCGCCCACAAATCCGACTACGTACTGCACGAAATTAAAATTTGTGAATATAGTAAGCTTTTCTGAAACAAAATTCGAATTTTTGGTACCAATATGATCACCTGCATCTCTAGAAATCATTTTTCACCGAAAAAACCAACAAACTTAATTACGAAAATCGCCCAAGTGAGCCGAAAATCTGAAATAGACACCTCGTAAACAAAAACCAAAGCGACGGCTTGCAAAATTTTTAGGTGCTACTTAGTTTTTCTAAAATACTACAATCTAAGAGTCTTTAATAGATTCTCGTCGGTGCAGATCAGACATGAGCGGAATGAAAATTTTAAAAATCCGGAATAAGGAATAAGGAATAAGGAATAGAAAAAACACCCGGAATAAGGAATTCCGCTCATGTCTGGTGCAGATACAAAATGACAGCTTGCAAAACCCGAAAAAAAAACTATTCAAAAACTTGAGAAACATCTATTTACAAAGTGACCTTAAAAACGAGAATAAGCGATTCAAAAAGGAAATTTGGCGCCGCGCCTTCTCCCCGCCAACTGCAAAATTTCAAAATATTTCAACCGAGTTACAGTTTTTAAAAATCATACTAATAAAAATTCAATATTTATTCAGAAACAATTAACGAACGAACTAAAAACAGTATGTACTTTTCAGAAAGAAAACTTCTCAAGTGAGCGTTATAGTCTGTAGAATGTCGAGTGTTGAATTCAACGCAGATCGAATCGATGTCATGGATACTACCTGAAAATTCACAATCAAAATTTCTGAAAAATCAAAAGTTATATACCGTAAAACCTCTAATAGACCGACACCCGGATCGNCCACTTTGAGCCTATATATCTCATTTTTTGTGAAAGATCACAAAGTGGCTAACTAATAAAATGTTGCTGATATCCTGATAAACATTTTACTAGTTAACCACTTTTTGATACCTTTCAAAAGAAGTGAGATATATAGGCTCAAAGTGGACGATCCGGGTGTCGTTCTATTAGAGGTTTTACGGTATCATGAGTCCGACCTTATCCTGTTCTTCAAGATCTGCAAGCATTTTTTCCAATCTTTTATGAAACTCTTCATTGCGGAAGTATCCAGTAGCAGCTTTCAGAAGAACCAAGAAATCTCGGAGACTGATTGTCTCTTCTCCCGGCTCCAATTTGACTGATAAGCTTTTTGTTACAGATAAAAAACAAGATTCAGCAAAATTGAGCACAGTTTTCGCAGGGATTATATGATCATTCCCTTCTAACTGATGAATAAAATCCTCCATTTTCTTATACGGCTCGGCTAGAAGCGGTGAGTCCAACGTCCGCAGAGCACTTTGGAAAATGTTTAGAAAGTAACAAAGACTTGTGGTCGGCGGTCCTTCTGGTTTTTCAGCAACTGGTATTATCGCTGTCTAAGAATTGAAGGTTGAGACGCAGAGGAAATGTGCTAACCTTCATTTTGTCAGACCCGCAGAATTTTTCTTTAGAAACTACTTTTTGTGGTGGTTCCACTGGTGCAGGAGACTTTTCCGTTCTCGTTCTCTTTATTGGAGGTTCTTCTGGCTTTTCCTTAGGAATCGTCTCCAGTGTCGTTCTCGTAGTAATCAGTGAACTAGTCAAACTGAATCGTAGCGCGTTATCCGGCCTATCCGTATCCAAGTCAGTATTAAAACTATGAGGAATTTCCAAGCTTCCATCTTTTGACACGTATTTTGTGATTCTTTGCTTCGAATCCAATTCTACGTTTCCAATTTTCTCAATACTGAAATCAAACTTTGTGCTATTCCCCTGAAAATATTCTCTGAAAATCTCACTCACTCGGAAAGACACTTAAAATGGATTGGAACTCGAAGTGCATAAAGAATCTTCACTTTCGTTTCAGTGTCAAACTCTTTCATGTTCTGTACGTTCGCGCGTCCGTGATAAATTCTGTAAAAATTGAAAAATAATCTTTGATTTCGTCCATTTCGATGCAAGCTATCACCTTCCTGCCAATTGTTTTATGCTCTCCATGGATTGCGTTTTTTCAAGGAAAGCTCCGCAAATATCTGCCACGCAGACGGGCGCTGTCAAGTTTTCAGATATTCCGGCAACAAAACGAAACACATCTAATATGTCTTCCTTGACCAGTTTTCGTTTTATATTCCTTGCATTATCTCCAATTTCCAAACTTCCGTCGTTGGCTTTATATTTCAAAATCTTTCCGTGCCTGTCCACGATCACCTCTGCATTTTTCCGAAGTCTTAAGGATCTTAACCTTATATAATGGATAAATTTATTAACACTCACTCTTCCAAAACACTGTCCAGCAAGCATGTATTCGATACATACATCAATTTGACTTTTGTAGCTTTATCAAATTCGGATAATCTATAGATATGATCTTTTAGTTTTCGCAATCTGAAATTCCAATTTTTTAAAAAGCTGGAAATTCAGATACCGATTTTTACAACCTTTTGTCTACTGCATTCAACGAGGTCTCTGTTTCTCTGCTGTATTCTCGAAGGAACCGAACTTGCGGATCACGAATGTTTCTCATTGTCAATTTTTTAGCAATCCATTTCAATAAATGCAAATGTTTCTCATTTTCCTTGAAGAATCGCTCTCCCTTATTACCATTTCGCACATTCAACTCCAGACAACCGTCGTTTTTAGTATACACGACGATTCTTTCTTGGTCGTCTAGCACTACTTCTGCATCTATCCTCAGTCTGGAAAAAAAACAGAAATTGCCTGTTTTTCATTTATTAGTATCACTCTTCAAGAAATTCAGGATCAACAGGAGCGCTTAGCCGGAACATCATTTGGACTTTTGTGTCATTATCGAATTGAGGGAATGTGTGAAGCTCTGTTGTCCATTGTGCGAGTCTATGAAAAAAAAAATAATCAAAATTGTCTGGTTTAATCCAACCTGCTTTTCAGACCAATTTTCGTATCGGTGAACTGGCTGAATTCTTCACATATTTCATCAATGTCGAGTAATAAATCAGTGCCTAACGCTTTTTGGGCGATAAACTGCATTATTTGAATGGCTTCGGGATTTTCATGAGCGAGCATTTTATAGCGAACTTCTGTAAAAAAACCTTTCAAAAAACGACACGCAGACAAAACGAGGTTTTGAGTCAGATTAAAAAATTTATTGAACGAAAAAATGTTTTACAGTAAGCAACAAGCGTTCCGAGACGCGAGTAAGATGTTTCACCATGCGCCTTTAATGTACTGTATTTTTTCTTTTATCATCCATTTCTTTTTCTGTCAATGCCGCTTCTTCCGATTTTTCTTCAAACAACTGTGATTGTTTTCAATTCTTCGCTTTTCCAGAATCTTCCACAAAAATGACTGACAATCGGGAACCTGAAACGGAACCTAGAGAAGATATCAAAGCAGATTTGCAGTCGGAAAAGAATGTAGTTCTTGAAAAACTGAAAACAGTGGCTGCTGAAACTGAAGAAATCAAAAATTCGCAAAAACAAAAGTTTGATGAATTTGCGGAAAAACTTCAATCAATCGAAGATGCGGTTTCGAAAATGTCTATTTTGTCGAATGTGAGATTTGTGGAAGAGAAACATTTAGAATAGTATTTTGTTTCAGAATCCTTGCAACACCGCACAAGAATCCGTGAAGAAATTTATATTAAAGCATGAGTTCAAAAATCTGAATAAATTGAAAGAAATGGAAGATCCTTCCAGCGAACTTTTTGAGTACTTCAATGCAGACTGGTAGTTTTCACTTCAACAATTTCCAATCCTTATCCTTTTTCTTAAATTTCAGGTGTTTAAGAGCAAGTTGCACTGGCGGTAGTGTCTACATTACTATTTGGGGCGATACAAAACAAAGCGATATGTCGATTGAAACTGAATTGAAGTTCAGACTGATAGGCTTCAATAATTTCACCAAAATTATGAAACACTGCTTTCGGAAACCAGAGGGAGAGAACGATTATCTTGATTTGGAAGAGATAGAAAAATGGCGAATTCCCAAGAATGTGACAGTTGAAGTAGAAGTTGAGATTCTAAAAATGACTGGAATCGAGAAAAAGAAATTGAGAACATTTGATGAGTCACAAAAAGACGTCTCCGATGTTGTTTTGGTGGTACATGACACCCGATTCTATGTCTCAAAAATGGTTCATGTTCACTTATTCTTCTTAAAAAATAAATTTCCTTTCAGTACCTTGCCTCTCAATCTACATATTTCAAGACTCTGTTTCTCGGCGGTTTCTCCGAATCAAAAAAATCTGAAATCACTTTGTCTGGAATCGATGCAGATGAGTTTCAGCATTTTCTGGAAGTGCTATACGGAGAATTCGCAATTGATGGTAAATTCTAAAAGCTCTCCAACAATTTTAATTCTCAAATTTTCCAGATTTCACAGTCGAAGGAATCCTTTTGATCGCAGATTTGTACGATACTCCAATAGTGACGAAGAAATGTGAGATGTTCCTTTTGAAAGAATCTAAAAAGGAGTTCAACAAGAAACTACAATTATCGTCTAAATTTCGTCTCGGAGAATTAAAGGTATCGATTTTAAGACAACTTCTGTAATTCGTACATTTTTATTCCAGACGCAATGTCTCGCGAAAATCAATACACTCGACAATGTTCGAGAACTTCTTCCTGGCGACTTGAGCGATTTGGACCCATTGGTTGCACTCACAATTCTTCAAAAATGTGTTGATTCCAAATGATAGTACAGTGCGTTTCAATATTATACGTCCACTCTTGTTTTTGGCCGTAACTTGAGAACCGGTTGAGATATCAATCTAATTTTATTAAAATTGAATTCAGAGCAACAAATTACATCTAGAAAACCATTTTTGAGAAAAAATATTGAAAACTACTCGAGATACAGAGAAAAATCTGAAAATGTGACATTTGCAACCGTTTCAAAATTATACGTCCACTCTCAGAATCAATGCTAAAATAGAGAATAAAAAATATTTCAATACTTTGTGCATGAACCTTTACCAGCAATGACATCGAAGAGACAATTTGGCATCGATTTGATAAGGTTTTGGATGTATTGGGTGCTCTTAGTCTTGAACTCCTGCTCCAGCAGACTCCACTCAGCAATCAGCGCATCCCGAAGCTCTCCAATACTAGCATACTTCTTTCCATGGCGGTAAAGACGACGAACCAGCTCGCCCCAAACATTTTCCATCGGATTCAGATCTGGAGAGCAAGCTGGCCATGGCAAGACATCGATGTTTTTCGATTGGAACCAGTCCAAAGTGGAGCGGCTGACATGGATTGCAGCATTATCTTGCTGAAAAATGAACTGGCGGCGACTGAATCGACGACGAAACGGGATAAGGTGGTTCTGGAGAACGTCTTGGTAGTCTGTGGAGTTCATTCGACAAGTGGTGAAAGCGAGCTCCAAGTATCCAGCCGAAGCAAATGCTCCCCATACCATCAAACTGCCTCCCCCGAAATTCCTTTTGGCAAAAACGGCTGGATCCTTCCGCAAGTCGTGCCAGTACGATTTGAATCCGTCGGGTCCATCAAGATTGAATTTTTTCTCGTCCGAAAAAATTACCTGTAAAAGATAAGATAATTTGGATAGATAATTTTAAATTTAATACCTTATCCCAGTTGGTTCCCATGTTTTTTCGAGCGAAGTCGAGACGGCGAGTTTTGTGATTGTCAGTGAGCTTCGGAGCAGGGCGCATGACTGCTCTTTTGATGTTTGGATCATCCTTAAGAGCCCTCCAGATTGTACACTTGCTCACTCCAAGATTCAGCTCTTTTTTGATATCATTACAAGACTTCATGGTGTTTGAAGCCACACGAACGATTGATCGTTTGGCTCTTGAATTGAGTTTTGGAGGACGTCCAGCCTTGTTGGGTTGATTGTTGCGGGTCCGGTTCGATACAAAACGATTAATGCAATCGTGGGAACGATTTAGATGTTTCGCGATAGCCCTGTTGGTCCAACCAGAGGTTTTGAACGCGTCGATGAAGGCTTTTTCAGCATCAGTGAGCAAATGGCCACGAGACATGTTGAAAAGTGGAGAAAAACAAGGAAAAGCATAATGAAAAAAGTTTCTCACATTGGCAGCAAAAAACAAAACTAAATTCAAGCTTTTCCGGCTCCGCCAAAGGTCAAGATCGACATACCTTTGAAGTGGACGTATAATTTTGAAACGGTTGCAAAAGTCACATTTTCAGATTTTTCTCTGTATCTCGAGTAGTTTTCAATATTTTTTCTCAAAAATGGTTTTCTAGATGTAATTTGTTGCTCTGAATTCAATTTTAATAAAATTAGATTGATATCTCAACCGGTTCTCAAGTTACGGCCAAAAACAAGAGTGGACGTATAATATNGAAACGCACTGTATTATGGTGTATTTTAGTAGCTGTCAAAATAATTTCGTATCTACTAGATAAGCTGATTTTAAACTATTCTTGTGTCTCATTTGAATCAAAGGATGCTTTCTCTGCTGAATAAATATTGCTCGCTTGAATTTCTTTATTTCTTACAAGTCAGAAAATAAAAATTTTTGATGAATAGTGGAAAAAACTGGCGGAAAATGCAAGAATATCGAGATAATAAATACGGAAAACTAAAATAATTTTAAGGTTACAGTAGTTGTTGCTGTAGGACCGTCCGCCACAGAAACCGCCGTTTCTCTTCTAGAACTCCGTCGATTTTTCGTATTACTCTTGTCTGAATTTAATGCACATTGGTTCTTAAAGGCGCAAGTGCGGAAACCACCGTATTTTGAGCATATTTCAATATTATTTCCTATGTTCATCATTTTTTCGATGTAA